AAATAAACGCGCCATCAAAAAGACCATGAAGACACCACCGCGGATTTATTTGAATGTTGGTTTTAAAACATACTAGTTTCAAACATTCCTCCTAATAGCGTCATTGTAATGGACAATGCAAGTTATCACAGTAGACAGTTAACTAAAACCCCTTCCTCATGTGACACAAAAGCAACAATCCAAAACTACATGTATAATAACGACATTTATTTTCACGAAGATTATACCAAAAAGCAATTAATTCAGGTTCTACAAAACTTTAACTTACAAAAGTGTGATAATTATGCAAAAAAACTAGGGCATACAGTTTTACCTTACCACTGTATATTTAATCCCATTGAACATGTTTGCCACCAACTGAAATCCGCCATTCGTCGTAACAATTAACTCCAATGTCCTCAAATTTATAGAAATCGATTTTTTAACATCCCTCCACAAAGTTGGACAAATTCTGTTAAACATATAGAAAAATAAAACAATCGTATATCCATATTGCAAATAATATAGAACAAATAATAATTAGAACAGGCGATGATAGCGATAGTGATACTGATATATTATGCGAATAATTTTAAGTAATTTAAGTAGGTAAAAAAAATAATTTTGCAATTTTATTTTAGATTTAAACATAAATACATACATAAATAAATAAATATTGTTTAGTAGCTTTCCTAACAAAACCCCAAATAATTAAGTTCTGAGCAAAGTACGGACCTGTTAGGCCATATTTCGTTCTTACAACTTGCCCGGGTCTTTCCTTAATTCGTACCAGCGAGTCACTTTCTTATATCTATGAACAGACTTTACCTTCACTTTTGATACTGCTGATCTAAATAATTCAATTGGCGATAAACCAAACCATTGATTGACCAAGATTGCGCAACCAAGAGTTTCTTCGGCGCCCTACACTTCGTGTGCCCTCCATAATTAGTTTCATTAGCTCATATCTTGTACGGCGTGATATATGTCCCAGGAATTCAAGTTTGCGTTTTTTAATGGTAAAGAGTATTTCGAGTTCTTTGCCCATTCTAACTAACACTTCCTCGTTTCTAGTTCTACTCATCCACGAGACTCTCAGAATGCGTCTATAAGTCCACATTTCAAAAGCTTCCAACCTCCTTGTGGTTTCTCTATTCAGCGTCCAGCCTTCCAAGCCATAAAACAACGCGAGAAATACATAGCATTAGATCATTTTTCTTCTTACTGTTAGTGATAGGTCCGGAGCACTCAATAATTTTTCATTTTTATGAAGACTTTTCTTGCCTGTTCAATGCTCGTCAGGATTTCCTGTTTATGTTGAACGCCTTCATTAATTATGGTGCCAAGGTATTGGCAGTGTCTTACTTGTTTCTATTGCTTGCTTCTTTTTTGTTATCACCATCAATTTAGTCTTTTAGTCTGTAAATCCTCGAGAGAACCGGCATACAAAACAACGTCGTCAGCGTACCTAATATTATTAAGGATTTTCCTGTCTGACATCTTTCCGTATGTTGACCTCTTCGGAAAGAGCGTTATTTATTCTGACCTTAGCGGCTTGACCCCAATACAGCTTTGATATAATCTGCACGTCGTGACAGTCGATGTTCAGTTTTTGTAGAGGAAGCCTATTTCGCAAATATCGCAAAACGCTCTATTATATGATATGTGTTTCTTCCCGTTTTTTATCGCATCCCTAGTATCGCAGCTAGTTTCAAACCTTTAGAGGTTTGTACCCTGCAAATGCAGAATGCCGAAAACCATGGTTAGTGAACACCAAGGTATTATAAAGTGGTAGCTTTATTTGAACCTTTCGTTTATACTAAAACGTGATCGCAGTTTAAGTATTTCTTCTTTTGGTCTTATACTGAAGGCTGTTTTTTTCTGGGGTATCCGTATAACGGCGATGTGGATAAATCCGATGATATTCCCGGACAAATCATCTTGGCTTACGAGTTACTGTCAAAAGAGATTTTGCGGTGAAAAATTGCCTTGAAAGTTGGGGCCAAGTAAGAAACCGTTCGTTTAAATTCTCGACGTTGAGGAGTGGCCGAATTATCCAATTTGGAGCCTGTTTTGTACACAAATTGAAAAAAAATTAATGTTTTTTTGAACTTATACCGATCATTAGCGAGAAACAATAAAATGAGAAGTTATATGATCACGAAATAAAAAACTTTATAGTCACTCGCTTTTGAATAAGCCCACCTTAAGCTGTGCCTTGCTGCATGCTTGGTATATATAGAGAGTTTGACTTCATAAGAGAATACTATCTCTTTATAAGACAATAGACCAAAAGGTAATTTTTATTAAACTTAACCAAACCCCTTAATAATTATTATTTTCATAATATGTTCTCATAAATAATTGAATTATTTTTGCCACGAGTTCTGAATGATACCATGTCATAAGCTATTTTACACATAAACTTTAAAACAAAGTTGTCTCTAAAAAAAAATTGATACTGACGAAAAGGTTTTTAAGGTTTAAGGTGCTGCAAATTTTATTCAGAATTACTTAATAGGAAGGGAAAATAAGTGTAATAAGAGATTATATTTCCCAATTTTGTTACTTGGTTGTGTTTCTAGAAAATAACTTTTTGAAATGGTAAATCCTTGTATTGGATTTTTGGAGCAAGTAAAGCAGTTACACCAATCTCATCTGATATCCATGTTAAAAAAAATTGTTAGATTGATTTATCATGATTTTTATCATTTGTGTGATTTTACAATGTTTACTTTACTTTATCAGGGGACTGTACCTTTTCTCAGTATTTTAGATAAAAAAAAGTGACCGACATGAGTTTTAAAATTTTAAATAGAACACCATGTATATTTTGATATTTTTATAATTTGCCACAAATAAAGGTAACTTTAATACTTATTCGAATTTTATGGAGTTTAGACAGACATTGAGATTACATTTTTTTTGCAACATTATGTTCCTAGTAAATATGGCCTTCTAAACACCTATTTAGAAGACTTCTAACGATCTGCGATGACTAGGTATTTTAAAATTATTTAGGGTGTCTTAAATTAGAGGACTTTTTTTTTAATTTCAACTTGCAGTATTCATTTTTTTTTTATAATAGACGCCTATGTTTTTGATATTTTTTCTCAAAGCGGGTCAAACTATCTATAATTTGGTTTGTATACCGACACCTAATTATTTAAAAGAATTTTAACGATTTTTGCAATGGGTGATGGGTCTTTTTTGTATATAAGGTAATAGAGAGATTTATAGGTCATCATTTTTTATATCGTCAACGATGTAAAATAATATGTATAATTATGATACAAGTTTAAAACTTATATCAAGTAACAGTAACAAATAAGAGCATCAAACAACAGTAACAATTAAAGTAAAAACTACGGTAAAACAATATCTATAGTAGGTATGTCCGTCTATATGGTTATAGCATTAGAAACAAATTCGATGTTATTTAGTTGGACTACAGCTTCTCTAATACAACTTTGTAGTTCATTTACAGTTGTGCATCTTTCTTTATATACCATATCTTTAATTGCCTTGGACTTTGAGGTGACCACCAGATGTTTCCAATTTGTCCTATCCAAAGATTGTAATTTTTATTTAAAAATCGTTCACAAGCCCGTATTTTATTTACCATTAATGGTTGTATTTCCTTTCTGAGCATATTTAATTATCGTCTAGAGTGTAAGTGTTCATTAAATAAAATTGGCCCTATAACCTTCGATCGGTATAAACATTCATTCAACAAAACATTGAAGCATATCTGTTTTTTCTTGCACCGTATACATTTTTACCTTAATTAATAATATTATTGTTTGATTTAAATCACAAACTCTGACTCTTAATTATAACGTCACTTAAAATATTTATAAACACTTATTTGGTTATCACTGCCTACCAGGATAAAAAGGAAGTTTCATAATAATATTAGTATGCCCTTTTTCAAAAAGGAGGAGTTTTTCACTATTAATGAAAACTTTATTTAAATCTTCGAAATCTTAATAAATTGTCCCATCATTCGTTGAAACAATAATTAAGATTAAATAAAATATAAGAAACATATGCCATTATAAGATTCTTTACAATAATTAGGTATCAGTATTTTTCGCCAGCGAGTTTATTCCTAAAAATTTCGAAAACTTTTAGATTTAGGTACAGCACATATATCAAAATCATGGGCCTCTCATTAAAAAAAAATGAATACTGCAAATTGAGGGTCTTCCAAAAATGTGTCTAAGATAGCCATTACTGCCAACCGTGGAAGACCATATTTACTAAGAACATATTTTTGTATAAAAAAATATATAATCTCAATTTCTGTCGAAACTAGACAAAACTCCAATAAACAGTCTCTATAATTTATATCGAACACCCTGTATATACAACAAATTAATAAATTTAAAATTTAATTTAAACCATAAAACTTTTGTATAAACTTTTTTGTTCTAAAATCTGTTCCCGAGAATACGTACAGGCTTTATTAGGGGCCCACCCCGTACAATTTAAATGTGTATTTCGGTATTCTGTACCATTTAATTTAGTTGTCACAATTTTTTTTTAAATAAAAGTCCTGACAAATAATTTTCTTAAAACGCTAGAAGCACGTGAATATTTTGAATGTTTGAATATTTTGATTGTATGTAATATATGAATGTAATATTTATATGTTATATTTATAGTAAATATTCTTTTATCTATGATATTTCTGTATAATTTCTCTAATAATATTTCGCTAAATAATCAAACAATGAGAAAGGATTTTTTCTGTTGTGAAATTTTCGTTCACGGTGTTGCCATTGCAATTTGGTTGCAGTTATATAGATCACGGCTGGTATCAAAAATTATTTTTAAGAATATATAAATTGCAAAAAAAAAACAACCTCTTTGCCAAAAACATGCCAAAGCTGTTCCTTTTTAACCGAATTCGATCATAAACCAAACGATCTCCCCTTTTTGCAACCTCACAAACAGGCGAGAAATAAAGCGCGTTCTCATATTCCGATAACTTTTGTCATTAAAATTTCTTATTCCAGAATTTATTAAGTTCTACGCCTCAACCATTGCCGGAATACAAAACGGCGGCGGTGAAGAAGAGTAGGTTCATAATTTCTCATTACGGCATATTCAAAAACGCCTGGGACTGGCTCATCCTTATAGCTACGTTCTACGTAGCCGTCGTAGTGCCTTACAATGCCAGCTTCCTCAGACCGGAGAAGGAACGACCCTCAGTAATTATGGATGTGTTTGTAGAGGCCTTGTTTTTTATAGGTAAGCGAAAATTGTTGTCAATGGAAATGAAATGTAAATCCAAATTATGCAAACCGAATTAAACGCGGAAAATGAAATTTAATTTTGCGCTATACGCATGATTTTGGGATCGCTGAAGACTCATCCGGACCAGTTTTGCTCTTCAGGAACATTTAACATTTTGAAACCACGCACAAGCAATATTTCATATTTTTTAGTTGACGATGGTGAAAAAAAAATTGATAAAGATTTACATACAAATAAGGAAAACCATTTAGCAAAAGCACGACAATTTGACATAATCTTAAAGTGGCAATCAGAATAAATCCAACCCAATTAAAAATTCCAAATTGGTTTATTATATTAGACCTAAACCAATTAAAATCTTTATAACAGTATTCGGAATAAAAAATCTGGTAAAATAAAATTCTTATAATAAAGGTTAATCCGTGCGACGCAAAAAATAACTTGGCATGGCTCCGCTGATGCCATTATATTTGATCTTCTTTTAATTAAGTGGTTTTTAACGCGCGTATTATGAAACTTTCAGCGGGTGTTTTACTCTCGTATCGTCATCTGGGCGAACTAGATTTAAATAACCTTAGGGAGGTTAGGCTCCATATTTTAATAACCTGTCTGGGACGTTCTGAAAAGAACATATCCAGCAATGCGGCGTTTTTGATAGTCTTGTTATTAAATATTTTCCTTCTCAAATTTTTAAGATAATCAAACCTGTAGAACCAAAACCGAAAGTTCTGTTGTGTGACTTAAAATTGTCACTGTCAAATTCAAGGAGGTACTTTGTAATGGCATAGGTCTCTTTTTTCATATTGATTAAGTTTGTTGTATTGTTATAATTAATCATTTGCAACCTGCGATTACTTATATTTTCAATTTGCAAAATATTTTCTTTATGTGTTGATTTAAATCCTCTTCTTTTTCATATGTGGAATCAATAATAATTAAAATTAGATTAAAAATAAAAACAAACATGCCGAACTGAAACTTAACGAGTTGGTAAAAATATCGTCAATTATTGTGAAGTTAAGTTTTGTTAAATTTTGTAACTTTTATGACCCAGAAATATAATATAAAAATATATTTCTTTCTGTTTGGATGAGCAAAAAAATTAAATAACCACCAAAATTTTTGATGTAACAGTTATACCAAAATTTATTATGAAATTATAATATTTTTGAAAACAATATTCTGTAATATACACGGTGATTTATTAATATATATCTCTAGCTTAGGAGCATAGTCCTCAGGTTGAACTAAGAAAAAAAATTATATAAACATGGGTTCAGAAACGATTTGTTTTTTCCCATTTGTCTCCCACAATTTGTAAAATAATCTGCATCTAAAGGGCGGTAAATTTTTGAAAGTCTTCCACCATTCAGTTACCCCAAACTCTTTCGTGGAACGTATTTGAATGAATTACGTTTCTGTACCTACGAGTAAGGATAAGCGTGCTTTTCTGGTTTATTTCCTAAGCGCGTCACCCTGTAGTTGCTGAAAAGTGTTGTATCACTTTAATCATTATGTTGTTGATATGTAATTGGATATACGAGGTGTGTTCAAAAAGTAAGGTGACTTGTAATTGGGCGGGCTATGTACATTCGATCTTCTATATATTTTTTATGTTATGTTGGTACAAAAGCGTTAGACGTGTTTTGCTTTAGACGTGTATACGTTGTACACGCTGTTCCAAGATGGCCGATGACGAACCTCGCTCTGCAGGCCCCACCAAGTCAATCACTGATGAAAGTGTTGAAGAAGTGAAACAAATGGTGTTGAAAAATTGTCGAATCCCTATTCGCTCGTGCCATGAAATTTTTTCCGAAATTTTGGGCATGAAACGTGTTGCAGCAAAATTTGTTCCGAAACTGGTTAATTTTGAACAATAACGACGTCAATGATGATCCTGATATTCTCAAAAAAGTTATAACTAGTGACGACGTCGAAACCAAAGTCCAGTCGCCTCAATGGAAGAACCCAGAATCGCCAAGACCGAAAAAAGCACGTCAAGTTCGATCAAATTTCAAGGTTTCAAGGGTTCTTACCATAAGGTCGTACGGTCAATGCTACCTGGAAGTTATGCGCCTTTTGTGAGAAGCAATACGAGGGAAACGTCCGGAAAACAATTCATGTATTTTACATGACAATGATGCACCTGCTCGCTCATCGTTGCTTGTGTCACCATATTCACCGGATATGGCCCCCTGCGATTTTTTCCAGTTGCTCACTCAAAAAACTCAAAAAACCCATGAAAGGAAGAAGTCTTGGAACGATTAAGGAAGCACGGAAAAAATCAGGGGACGAACTCAAGGCTATTCCAGAAACTACTAAAAAACGTTGGCACAAGTGGGAAGGTTAAATAGAAGGGTTACAACATTAATTTTGATAAATAAATAAATACTTTTTGCTAAAACTTAAAAGTCAACTTATTTTTTGAACACACTTCGTATATTATTCTCTGTTTCTCCACGCAAAGCGTTATTAGGCGTTATTAGACCCATATTTATACGTTTGCGTTAAATCTTTTCCTTATTTGTAGCTGAGAAACATGCAGCTATGTTATGGGCGATTAATAAGTTCCCTTGTACAGGGTGCGGCAAAAAGGTAGGCAGGATTTCAAATAGTGGTTGTTCGGTTTGTAAAACCGCCAACACTCTGTACGTACTCGCATTAGGCAGACAAAAGTATGCCATTTTCAGTTATTGACATGGCTTGGAGCTGAGTGAATCATGCTTCCGTTGTCGAGGAGTTTATTAGAAATGGGGAATCTGTAATAGCGACGCAGCGCGCCTTTCGTAATCAGTTTGATGTTGGTCGGCATGGCGCGGTTCCGGATGGAAGAACAATTCGTCGGTGGGTTTCTGGCCGACCAAGGACAGTAAGAACACCGGAAAATGTGTATGCAGTAAGAGTTTCCGTACAACAGTATCCGAGGCGTTCAGCTCGTAAGCATGCAGTTGCTTTGGGAACTCCCTATAGAAGTGTTCGAAGACTTTTACACAACTCACTCCAAATGCATCCGTACAAAGTGATGGTAGTGCAGCAATTAAGCGCAAGAGATTTTGAAACTCGTACAAATTTATGCCGGGATATTCTTCAAAACATTCCCAGAGGCGCTGTATTCATGTCTAGCGATGAAGCTCACTTTGACCTCTCGGGTACCATAAATAAGCAAAATTTCCGTTATTAGTCAGCAAATAGTCCACAGGAACTTCATGAGCTACCTCTTCACAGTCCAAAAGCCACCGTCTGGTGTGCAATCTCGGAGTTCGGCATGTGGGGTCCTTACTTTTTCGGAGAAGATGGAATAACGGTAACAGTCAACGGAGATCGATATTTTGATATGCTTAATAATTTCCTGCGTCCAAAAGTGAACGAGTTGAACAACGATCAAAGAGAAATCTTTGGTTCCAGTAGGATGGTGCTACATCGCACACAACGCGTCCTTCACTAAATCTTCTTCAAGAAATGTTCCTAAACAAAGTGGTGTATTTGTGGGGTGATCTTGGCTGTCTTGGGGGTTACCTGAGAGCAAGACTTTGGAAGAATTAAAGGTAGCCATAAGATGAGAAATTGCCTCAATTCCCCAAAGAATGATCCATCGGGTAATGATGCGCTTCCGCAAGAACCTACAAGAGTGCATCGACAATAATGCCCATCATTTAAAAGACATCATTTTAAAAAAATAACGTTCCTATATGGCATAAATGTACATTTCAAAAATAATTTTAAAAAATGTTTACTTTATGTAGTTTGGTTTTTATTAACATGCCAAATAGTACCTATCATTTTGCCGTACCCTGTATAATCCGGCCATGTTGAATTTGAGAGAAACACTCGCCAATTTAAATACCGACCGAGCCGCAAATACCGACTAGCCCAAAGAATACAAAAAAAAAACAATTTAAAATACAATATGACTTTCGCTTGAGACTGGTTCCGCAGTATATAAACCATTGAATATCCGGTTACCATTAAAACTAAACAGCAAGCTCGAAACACGCATATCACCCAGTGAACAGTCCTCCGAAATGGACGCGTTCATTTAAAGCGTCTGGGATGGGTTCAATATTCTCCGCCCCTAAAGCATTGTCACAGGTGTTTACTCTTTAGCGTTATTACATTTAGCATCTTCACCGCTCGCCATGTTAACACATATTAACGTGTCCCTTCCCTAAATTAAACATGACGCTGGCCATAAGTGTTTTACCGGTTGCAAACTTGCCTTTATTTTTTATGATTAAGGAAAATGGTGGCGATACTAATTATTTAAACGTGGTTAAAATTTAATGGAAAACTAACTATCTAACATTTATTAGATTTAACTGTAACGAAAATAGCAATTATTTAATCGTGGAATGAAAACATGTTTATGGATAATGGGTACGGTAAGAAAAAAAGCTATTTTACTACCAAGTAGAAAATCATTTTAGGTAGGAACAACTCTTGGAAAATAAACTAAAAACATGATATTCAACAATTTTATCGCAACTCTGCTCTGCTGAAAATTTATTCTATACCAAATAAATGATATGCATAATATACAAACAAAATCTCGAACTGACGGTTTATTGTTCAAAAAACTTATAAATAATTAATTATTGTATTAAATTATATCAAACAAGTCCCCATTAAAATTGTTAAAATGCTTAATGTTTATATATATTGGTTAAAATGATAATTACGAGAAATTAGGTATAATCGGGGTGCATCGATGCGGATTTAAATTAGCACAAGCGCAAGTGTTTTTTTATTTCAAATAGCTCTCGTGTTTTATATATTTTTGAATATTTCATAACAAGCCTAAAAAAAATAAAATATTAAATTGAAAAAAATATATTTCCGTATATTTCAAAATTTGCTGGATTCCCAAGCCACTGTTTTCAACTTTACGTACAACCGAGCTGCAAGAGGTTTCAAAAAATGGAAATTTTCAAAATTCTAAAAATCCAAGATTGCTAAGACATTTTTGTTTGTAAACCCTTTGATTTCATGAAAATGTAGCTTTTCTGCATACTGCAATGAATTGCTGCACGTGTTTTCCCGGTAATTGTAACACTCATGTTTTATTACATAAAACTTTCACTATTTCACTATTTCTTTCAGTCATTTTCAATACAACGCTTTTCACTATTAATATCTAGATTGAAATAATGTGTAACATATTTAATTGGTTGGCAGTCGAAATAATCCATATCCGTAATAATGATAAATCTCTAGATAGCACATTATTTAAATAAAGATATGTGCATTCGTTAATAAATAGTAAGTTTAAGATGTGGCATAGTTAGTTAATAAATAACAAAAATTGACAGCTTAACAGAAAAAGTTTAGAAAATATTTTTTTATGTTGACACTTTTTTGAAAGAGGGGATATTATTTGACAGAGACAATTAAATGCGTTAGCAACATCTCACAATAGATCAGTGTAGTAATTACACATTATCGAACACCATAAAAAAAAAATCTAAAATCAGATTTAAATACAAAAAGAAAATTTTTATGATCGAAATTACTAGTGAATTTATTTACTTACTTATTATATGGGCGACCGCTAACTTAACACGTATTGAAAGTAATTTGGCTTTTCGTGAATCCGCACTTCAAGGAAACAGATTACACGTCCAAATATAAACAGTAGCCTTCACCTATGTCAGCGTTAAACAATATCTGCCGAGTATACGGGCTAATTTTCCCATTTTCCAAAATAATATGATAGAATATGCGGCGAGAAAAGCATGAATATGTATACCTTGTTTTGCGTATACTGCCCCATAGAAATATAAGGCGACGGCGTCACTTAAATTGTTTAGGAATTCCAGGTTTGCTGTTATCATTTCATCCTAGACGAGTCGGTGTATATACCAACTCAGATGTTTATTTTCTTAATTTGATTAGGCTCAGGCTGTTGGGTTTGTTAATGGAAATATGTACGGTGACTGCTAATTAGAAATCTTCCCTGGTCTCTGTTTTATTTGCCAGAAGATACATATAGAATATAGAAGAGAAAATATTTCATGAGTAAATAATAATCCGATGGGCTTTTGCTTAGTTTTCCTTCATTGCTTATTTTAGAATTTAAAACAGAAAAATTAATTGAAAATCTTTGAACAGGAGATAGGATATTAATCAAGATTCGAATAAGGTTGAAATAATTTATTTTTTCTACCCCCCTCCTGTAATAGTATGTGCGGTTAACGACTCGCTCCGCTCGTGCCAAATAAATTCGTGACCTAGAAAGTTTACCAAACGTGTTGCATACTATACTTTTTCTACGACCGTTCCTTGTTGGGTATATTTACGCAAAACAACACGGATATATTCACTGCCATGACCGTCAGAATCGACAAACGTTAAAATTCAAGCCGTGGGGTAAAATCTCCGAAAACATCCGATTGCCCCTAAAACCGTGGGAAAACCACGGCAACAAACAAACACCCGAAAGCGGCCGAAACATTTATCCAAATAAAGAGATAGGTTAAATACAAGTGTAAACACGGCTCAGATAGCAAATTAATTTATAAAATGGCGTTAAATTATTTTACTTTGGTTAATTCTCTATATAGGTGGTTTCCACTATACAGTGTACTTGCAAACAAAATAAAATTAACAGTTTACAAAATAAAGTAGAGGTTCTTGGACATGATATAAAGAACAACAATTTACGCTATTGCTTAAGCTAAAAAAAACTTGTAACTTCTATTAAACATACTGCAATGAAGATGTAGGTAGGTATTTCATTGGCACCTAAGGGATTTTGATTTTACAATTTAACCCTTTAAAGTAAGTTCTTTTCTAAAATTTTAATGCTATTTCAATTTTTTCATACTTGTTATCCTGATAACTACTTAGGTAACTTTTACTTTTTAATTCTTGGTAGCTGGTTAATTTTTTGCATAATCAAAAGTGTTTTAATTGACAACCATATCCTCAAAATAATCGCAGCTGAAGTATTAGATGAAGATATTGACAAATCATATTGCTTATTGAATAAATTTAAAAATCATCATCATAATTATATCTGTGAGAACAATTGGCCACACGTTTTTATTAACCTTTTATGATTCATGATAATCTTCGTATGCAATTTTCCGAGTAAAAGGTACGTAAATACAATTTTACTATGACCGCAATGATTTATTTAAAATAACAGAGAATCTTTAAACAAACATATTAGTGATAGGTTTGGCTCTTTCACTAATTAAAATGCAACTGAATCTTTTAAGCTAAATGTATGTAGATGTATTTTAAAAACATTTTTATGTAAACAAATCATAATTATTCTCTATCGAGGAAAACGAGCACCAAGCGCCCCGATACGATTTGGACAAATACGGCCATCTCAAAACCGTGCAATAATATCCCGGCATTGTCCGAAATGACTCGGATCCGTGGGACAAGAAATTCACTTCAGATTAGGTATTTTACAGAAAAGAGTAGAAAAAATACCTAATTATACATGGACTAAGCGTGCGACATCAGTTTCGTTTCCCATAAATCCGAGCCATTTCCGGGATATTACCGCACGGGTTTGGGAGCAATCGGATGTTTTCGGAGGTATTACAGCACGGCTTGAATTTTGAAGTTTTGACGTGTGTTATTTTACAAAAACGCACCCAAAAACTCAAGCTCATAGAAAAAGTATATATGAAACACGTTGGATAAACTTTTCAAATCACTCGTTTATTAAACACTCGCTCCGCTCGTGCCAAATAAACTCGTAAATCAAATGCCGTTTACCACACTCCGCTTTACTATCAAACCAATTTCATTTTCGTAGTTGATGGCTAAAACTTACCACTTTCTAAATTGAATATGTAGGATGTCTTATCTTTGGTGTTATTTTTTTTCCTAATGGACTTATTAATTATAATTATAATAATAATTAATATTTTATTAAAATATTTACCGTTAATGAAAAATAGTGATATTTTACCTCCCTCCATATTTCAAAGAGATTATGAGATATCTTTTGAGGAACCATATTATTGTAGATCCATATGATCCGTTCATTTTAATGATGTTTCTAGTATATCGTTACTAACGAAAATCGTTTGTTTTTCTGCCTGCAAGGTAAAAATCCAACCAATTTAATATGCTCTGGTTTTCAGAGAAAGGATGCGGAAGGTTCAACTAGTATGCTTTATTTTCAGATATATTATTGAATCTCCGAACGACGTATGTCAATAGAAAAGGGGAAGTCGTATCCGACTGGAAATCCATCGCCGTTAACTACCTAAGGACTTGGTTCGTCGTAGATTTGTTGGCCGCCCTCCCTTTTGATTTGCTTTATGCCCTCTACGGTGAAGAGGTACGTCTATATTAGTCACATTATCAAAATCAGCACACCACATTAAATGCGAAGCGAACAAAACATGTAAACAAGATAATGCGAACATTTCAGTCCCTAGAAAATGTTACAAATATACAGCATCAGATTGGATGGAGTAACTATTAAAGTTAATGGATAAACTATCTCATTACCCATTGTTCTGCGAAATGTACCCTGAGAGTAAGGATCCTAAATGGGAACTTTGTTCGGATTTGGGTATTGACTAGGGATTCGCGTTCCACCATATGGATGTAAAACGACTCTTTGGAAATTTAATTACTTTTTAATCGGAATTTATGTATTTGGAAACGCCGATAACGCGTTTTTTTTTGTCGACGGAATATCGATATAGTAAAACTAGATAATTTTACGTCGATAACCACTAATGGACGCTGTGAAAGCAATTCAGTAATGTCCAGGGTCCATCTTGGAAACCCTAAAACCTTAAAGACCGGTTTAATTGTAAAAATATAAATAAGAATAATAAACATTTGTTTTAAGTATAGAATAATTATCCAATCTCACAATTCTAATAAATATGTATTGACAAACAAAAAAGAAAATTAACATATCAGCAACACGAACTCCTTTTAAGTAGAACAAAATACAGAGCAATTTTTTTTATATTTTCATTACGTCCAATGCCACTTTTTCAACTCTGGTGCTAAAAGTTTTTTATTACAATCTTTCGCGTTTAAGTGAACTAAAATTACATTTTATTTGTTTTTGTAAAAGTATTGATTATTATTTCCTTAAGTTTATTGTGATTCAAATAAACTACATTTTTTTCTAATGTGCCAACCAAATTGAAACACGAATACGAATTATAATTTGATTTTATATTTGCTGCATTGGTAGTTCGCTTATGGTTCACAACAAAGGAGCTCTAAGATCATCTCGCTCAACGCTGATAAAAGTTAACCAAAGAGTGAAAGTATTTTTCTCTTATATTTGTTAAAGTATCAGCAAGTGGTATAGCTTGATTGTAATGAATAAGTCACATTTTTAGTATTCATTTTACACCTATATCTACAATTATGGTAATAATAATAAAAGTGGTAATCCTTATTTCGTGAATATCCCAAATAGTACAAGTGCGTCCGTAAAGCATCGTCGGGATATCTGACGGGACATAGCGTATATCCTAGGGATATACAGTTTTAGCTAAGAGACATATTTAAGACGTCTCAAGGATATTTCATGTTACTAATTGGAAGGTCTACAGTATATCAGGTACGTATGTCTGTAGGATGTTTGTTAGGACATTCTAAGGATATCCAGTTGTACTAGTTGAGATGTCGTTAGTATATCCGACTGTGAGGATATAGGATCTTATATAGATATTCCAGTGGACCTTACTTAATTACTAGGTTATTTTCAACAGCCTATGAGAAATGCGGGAAAGGTAATGTCCAGTATTTCAATTAGTTGCACGACTACAAAAGTTCTATCCCAGTATTTGGTACTCGCGCGTGATGGAATTAACCTATTGGGTATGGTTGGTGAAGTCATCACTGGAATATCAGGCGATATTTGAAATGCAGAAGTTTTTTCCAGTTAACATGTAATCTTTAACTTGGTTTTGATGGTAAACTTGAAGGAATGCCGATTGATACCATTAATAAAACACTTTTGATATGAAAAAATTATGGGCATATAATATAGCAAAAATATAGAAAAACCTAGCTAAAACTAATAGGTTATTTTTTTCGATGTATAGAACTTTAAGTTGGCATTACTGTTCAAGATGGCGACCGATTTAACAGCTGTCAAGTGATTTATTCTCAGTTTGGTTTGGAAATCCATCATGAATAGACTCAAGCCTGAACAACACTTGCAAATAGTGCAATTTTATGTCGAAAATAATGGTTCTGTGCGGAATATGTATCGCGCACTACGTCCATTTTATCGTCGACAAAATCGTCCATCAGTGCAGTTAACTCGATTAACCTTGGAACGTTGTCGCACCACGTTTACTCTTATTGATAACTCGCATCCCCAGAGATGCCGTACGGTGCGTACAGAAGAAGCTATTGCTGCTGTAGAGCGTAGCATTGAGAAAGACCCGAATGAGTCCATCCGCAATCGAGCACAGGAATTGGATCTGTGTCCATCCACTTTATGGAAGGATCTTGGTTTACGTGCTTACAAAATCCAACTCGAAAGAATTTAAGCCAAACGATCATCAAGTAAGGCGTAGATTCGTCTAATGGGCCCAAAACGAGATTGCCGTTGTTCCCGATTTTCATAAGCGAATTTTGTTTAGCGATGAAGCGCACTTCTGGTTGAATGGCTACGTCAACAAACAAAACTGCCGCATTTGGAGCGAAGCTATCCTCAAGTGTATGTCGAAACACCGTTACATCCAGAAAAACTGACTGTTTGGTGCGCTTTATGGGCTGGTGGGATCATTGGTCCGTACTTCTTCAAAAATGACGATGGCCAGAACGTTACAGTGAATGGTGATCGATATAGAGCTATGATTACTAACTCTTTTGTTCCTGAATTGAATAACCATGATGTCCAGGAGATGTGGTTTCAACAAGTCAAAAGTCAACATGTCACACAGCTCGTGCCACAATCGATTTCTTGAAAGACACGTTTGGTGACCGGCTAATTTCACGTTTTGGACCTGTGAATTGGATCCAAGATCTTGTGATTTAACACCGCTAGACTACTTTCTGTGGGGCTATGTAAAGTCATTGGTCTATACGCATAAGCCACAAACGCTTGACCAATTGGAAGACAACATTCGCCGTGTTATTGCCGATATACGGTCACAAATGTTGGAAAAAGTCATCGAAAATTGGACGTCCAGATTGGACTACATCTACGCCAGCCGTGGCATATGCCAGAAATCATATTTAAAATGTAATCCCACAAGATTATCTTTCGGATAAATAAAATTCATGTCAATCGAATAATCCATCGTTGTTTTATTGCAACTTAAAATTCTATACATCGAAAAAAAACACCCCTTATCTTAAAAATAAAGTAAGACACTATATCTTGAACTAGACTCTAAAAGAATAACTAATATTTGACAGATTTTCTGACATTCTTTGATGCAAGTAGTTTTTTTCAGCCAAGCAGCTATTGAATTCTCACATGTTTGTGATCTGTTTGCCTTCTTATGCGCATCTGAAAATATTTAAGGTTTCAGAAAGGCAGGTTTTATATATATCTGTACTTTATAAAAAAAAGAACGAGACTGATATCTTATATGCCTAAAAAACAGATTTATAAAACCGTACATCCGAATTTTAAGAAAAGGCTTGATTTGACACTGATAGTACTCTCATGAAAATGATGTTAGATGCTAATCTCCACGATGATGTAGGTATACATTTATGTGTTTCATTTCATTAAACGCAAACCTCATTAAACTTGCATCGCTAAGATCTATTTCATGAGAGTAATTAACATCGCGCGCAAAAAAAAACTAGAACAAATGCGACTTTTCAGTTTGACAGTAACCAACCTAGTTTTTTTTGCTCGTGATGGTACCTGCTATGACAATGAAAACAAGCTTTAAAAAATAGGAAAAACGTTTTCATGAATTAACCCAACAACCATTTTAATGTGAAAATTGTACTTTATGAAGGGTGGTTTCTAAAATTAATACTTTGTATTTGCAGGGTGATTCTTGCATCCATTTAAAAAAAAATACTAACTACTCTATATAACTAAAAAAATAATTTTGTTCGGAGGTATACTATACTATATAACCAATAACCAAAAGTAATCACCATAATATATATTGTATTAAATTATATTTCTTATACTTTATTCATATTATATTTACATCCTATTTATTTTTAAAAAAGATAATATCTACCTACCAAGTATTAATTTGGTCAATTTTAATTTTGAAAATTTCTCCTTTTTCTTTATGCCCAACCAATTAAATTTCATTGGAAGTTCATTTGAAATCAGCGGAGTCAGAGCTTGTTTTACAAACTCATAACTGCTGCCGCCGCTTGATCTTGCTATCTCATTGACCTAGCAAAATAATAAAACACAAGACATGATGTTGGTAGACTACACAACAATGGTTCATTCAACTTAAAGTTTATCACATCTTATGTTATATATTACCATAAAGCTTTACTGCATTATTAGTTCTTCAGTAACAATAATACCACAAAAAATGACTGAAATGAAAGCACTGAAAGCAGTAAGCACAGCACAATTAATAGTCAAAATAGATGCCAAGTCGCCAAAACAAGGCAGATAAGATGGCGGACGACGAGACGGAGGAGAAGCCGACGAGACTCGAGCGAGTCCGGCACGGCACGATCGCGAGTAGTCATTGACTGCAGCCGAACAGTGTTGTCAAAGGGGATCTTATGAAAACAAATATATTATTGTTACGTTTTTGTAATTTTGTCACTTTTCTTGTCTCGTTCGTTTCCAAAAATAATAAAAACAAGTTGACTTTAACAGTTTAATTCGGCTTTTTCTTTAGGGTTTGCCAACAATGACGTCGCCGTAGATGTGCACAAAAACGTTGCCAATAAAATGTCTCCCAAAACACCACAAATCTAAAAAAACCAAGTATTTTCCTTCTCAGTTGTTCAAAATTTAATTCTTTAGGTTTCTATTCGAATTATGACGCAAGGGGATATCCCCAGGCTACCTATTTAGAGGATATCTATACCACAGATATCGTATACAGTAAATCCGCAAACTATCCATTCAGAGCATATCCCTGGGATGCATTTTACAGTATATCCTTAGTATATATGCTAACGTATATCCTAAGAATATCCTCGACATTGACCTGGGGATTTTGTGTGCTATCTGAGATGTTGCACATTTCGCATGTTCAAACAAAAATCTGCAATGTTCGAAAAAGACATCCTCTCATGCTGGTAAAATATATATTCTTCTCAGATATTTTCCAAAATACTTAACACCTGCTGCACTTGAATTAAGACTTAAAACTTATTTATTTCACAAATATATTAGTTCTGGTAATTATTATTATCAATGTTTATTTATATACGCTGGTAATACATATATTCTTCGGCCATCCTTTCCAAAAGACTTAACATTCGCTACTGTTAAATAAATACTTAAAACTTGTTTATTTCACAAATATATTAGTCATGTTAATTATTATTATCAATGTTTATTCTCAATAAGGGAGCTAAAGCACAATGAAATCGCGTTGGTTCTAAAAATTTACAATAGTAGGTAATCCTTTCTTTTTGCTGTAGATGCAAATTTCGTACTTGGCAATATCAAGCAATGGAATAACGTGTCAAATTTGTGCAAGTTAATCTAGTTTAGCTGTCCCGACTAATTGTGAAAAATTAGTTTCCTTTCGAGAACTGAGCGTAATGAACCGCACTGTTCTCTAAATTGAGACTAATGGCGATCAATTGCACGTGAGCTGCCGTTTTTTTGCCACGAAATAAAAAACTAAAATCTATAGACTTAGGCAATTAATTAAACGTTTATAGCACTTGTCCATTGTTTCTTTGTGTACCGGCTACCTTGGTAAACACAATGACCGCCCACGTACTGCATACTGTGAATATTGCCGTGTTTAATTCCGCATTGCAGACGACGTTGGTTAACATGTGTTAAATTCAACCCCTGTAATACATTAATTTAATCTTCGGACAACGCAGGGAGATATCTCGACTACACGTTATCATCCAACACCAATTTTCTGTACGCGTCGAAAGTTTTCCTGAAGTTTATATTAAACTCGAAACCGGTACGAAAACCCAAATAGTGAACAAAGTAACTTTTTTTACACGCAACTGAGGCCAAATATGTCTGTACTGTGTTTTCACTGGTTCAGCATGTACAATACTAAAAACCTGCACTTAAAAATAGCGTTTGAATTTTGATTGTCCTTTTAGATTGTGAAATCTTAATTATAAGCATCTTTTAAATTTTTAAAGCCTAAAAACTAAAGTTTAAACCTAAGTGCAAGCGTCAAAGATAAAAAAAAAACAAATCAGAGTAATTTTCAGATTTTTGTTTCTTAATGGGACTTGTGTAGACATTGTGTTTTTTATACTCCCAATATTTTTTACTTCTTTTTGAACCTGAACCTCAAAACAATGACTTCTTTCAGCTATTAATGTGCCATAGTCATCTTAATTATTATTATCAATGTAAAAAAAAACGGAATGAAAATCGAGTATTTTAAAACCATATTTCGCTACTTTCAGTTCCGTTATAAGTTGTACAGGGTGGCCCGTTTTGTGTTTTTTATGCTCCAAATATTTTTTAATTCTTTTTGAACCTGAACCTAAACACAATGACTTCCTTCAGATATTAATGTAAAATAGTCATCTTAACTATTATTATAAATGTAACAAAATTCGAAACGAAAGTCGAGTATTTTTAAACCATATTTTACCACTTTCAGTTCCGTAATACAGGGTGGCCCGTTTAAGAGAGGCCTATACCTTATCTCGAAATCTACGGGGGTTACAAACAAAAAATGAAATACAAAAAGTGTTTCAATTAAAAGACCTTTATTTCTTTCATTTTCTTAATCGCCACTTTTTACATTTTTAAAATAGAACACCCTACATTCTGTTACATTTTTGGATACATATGAGTATGGGTCTGTGATTCACCGTTTCGAACTTATTAGTGATCATCTACAGAATTCGGTTTATGTTTAAACCATCATTGTTGGGTTGCTTATTAATGGTACTTTTCTCAATTTTCTTAAATGAGACTGTATATTATTGGATTTTCAAATAGCAACTTTAATAGCAATTTCAATTGTATAACATACTACGGGTCTCTGACTTACCGTTTTGCCTTAATTGGCGGAAAAAATTAAAAACTGGGAATTAGCCCCTTATCAACTTGTTCACAATCGTTTTAAGGCATTGGTAAGAAGTCATATTAAAAACAGAATATTAAGCTTTGCGCAATGTTGCTAATTATTACTTAATTAATTAACACTAAATACTAATGCATATTACTTACAAGAAAAATTAATTAAATGACAGGGCACCCTGTACAAGTCCTACAATAGTCAGAATATATTTTATATTTATAAATTCTTCATTAAGACAACTTGTCTAATGGTAATTTTCATTATAGTAATGAATAAGTAGAACATGTAGTTACCATCCGATTAGATACCTGTCTTACTTGTGTGTTACAGCTGTTATCAAAGTCGATACATTTATTGCTAGTCAACATCATTAATTTTTAAACGTTATTGATTTACATTTTTAATGTCTTTGTATTGTTGTTTTAATGTAAATCTATTACAATGATTTACATTTTATCTTAAATGTTGAAAATATTAACCTATTACCAAATAATTCAAAAAGAATATAACTTTTTCAGTGTCAGGTCAAACGTCAATTTTTTTCACTTTGCTAGTTCATGAAAATAATATTTTTTTGTACATTAATTATGGTTAAAAATAACATGGTCTATATAATGGTCTGGAGCGAGCGAAAATTGTTCACACAATTCCGGAAGTTCCTCTAAAACGGTCCTGCTCCGATTGGTAGTACAACGTCGGCCGATGAGCAATAAGGGTTTCGTGAAACCTTATATCATGTGACAAAATGAGAGTTTCCGTTAATTAAATTTGATATTCACGAGGTACCTAATTATATGATTTCCAGGGAAACAGGGTAGGTGCATGTCTTCAAGATCAATTATGATTATTGATTGACTGATTTTTTCGACAACTGTTAAGAAACATTCATATTTACACTGCATATTTAAAATACCCTAAACAAAAAATTTTGAATGATACCTCCGATAAATGTATGTTTAATGTTTTTTTTTTTAATTTTGGAAAGTTATAACAATTTAATTTCCACTTAAATAATTAATGAAAATGAAACTTGAAAAACACTAAGAAAAATGACCACCATCATTTTCAAAGTGAAGAACGAAAGTTTTCATTAAGAGTATTAAATGGATCGAATTGAAGACGTAATCGATAATTTATATTGTTTGTTCTTGTGTTACAGTCCGGTCCAACTCATACCCACCTGATCAAATTAACGAGGCTTCTTCGCTTGGCACGACTCCTCCAAAAGATGGATAGATATTCCCAATACAGCGCGATGATTCTGACACTTCTGATGTTATCTTTCACTTTAGTAGCCCATTGGTTAGCTTGCATATGGTACGTGATCGCGGAGAAAGAAGTCGAGACCGATTTAGGTAAGTAAAAATGTAACGAATTACACTTAAAATATATAGGGTTCTCCAAAGAAAAACGAATTTCATTTATTAATTATTTATTATTTATTAGTCCATTTGTTTGATTTCTTTGAAAAAGAATTGATGAAGACACAATATTTTCGCGATTTGCTTAATTAAAAAATAGAGGAACGCATTCAAACTTCACCAAATTTTAAAACTCTGCTGGAGCTCTAGTTCTGTTCATAATGTCAATATCGCTTTCCTTACTATTGATCATTTTTAGTCAGCATTGCTGACTCTTTTAATAAATAAAAACTAATTATATTATTAAGAGTAAACGTTATTACTAAAGGAAAATACTTTTTTTCTTGGACAATCCTATATAATATTGGACACGTGTTATCCATTCGGTTTCTCTTAAAATCCTAAATATATTGGAAGAATCGGAAATGTAGTTTCCGCTACTAATAATGTTTTTTTGTGTATGAATTCGGAAAAGACATTATTCGTTTACTTCTTCACATTTCAATCAATTCGTCTGATTGTGGCGGCCTTGTAGTAAGTAACATTTATTTATTTTCCAATCCAGTCGTTTTCGAATTTCTTCTTTTCGGCCCACTCAGATTCGGTTTAATCGTTGCATTTCTCATCAGAGAGATATATTGTTCCTTTTTGTTTGTCCCCCTTCCTAACCGCGCGGAACATTTGCTCGAATGACTGTCATCCATCTACACAATTAGTATGCCAGAAATGTCTTTTTGAAGATACAGAGATTTTCCTTCAACATTAAAACTGAGTAAAATAGTTTTGACAAATATTTTGTATTTATGCAACTTCTTGATTGCTGATTAATTTAATTAATTTTTAATAATAACTCAATATATTTAATTAAATTTTTCTACCAACGTTTTAAATCTTTCAATGCAAACTTTTTTGAGGTAATCTACTGAAAACATTGTTTATTAATAAAATTCCTCGAAAGCTTGTTGACTGATTATTATATTTATATTTATATTCATTAATTCGGTCTGCTAATGTTGTCTCTTTCTATAACTGTACACTTTAGACACGTCATTCATAATAAATAAAAAAAATAAATAAAAATAACGATTCATTGTTAAAACAAAGAAGATTTGGCAACAACCATTTTCTGGTCAACGGATTGAGTTTTAGATAAAGCAAGCTAGTAAGTAGCATTGGTTATTCTAACGCTGCAATAACAATCTAGCTGTCGAATCCCGATATGAAACTAAAAAACAAAAAATGCGGTAGTCAATATCGTAAATGCAAATTTCTTGGGTAAAATTTATTGTTTTGAAGTGATAAATTGCGCTCTCAGAACACATTATCGCACATTCGTCATCTTATCCTTTATAAGAAAAGGATGTAAATTACGTTTTCTGGAAGTTTTTGCCCGTCCTTTTGTCAAGCTGTGAAAAAAATTGGCGATTGCATAGTATCTGGAGGCGACAGCGAATTTCAATTAATCACATCTTTAAAATAAAAAGAACTCCGAATGCAGAATAAGGTGTTCGAGAGAAAGAGGTTCAGGAAGATGGAATAGTAATTGTAATTCATATTGTTTCATGGGATTATCATTTTGCTTGCGACATTTAAATATCGAGCCATTTTTTACCGTTTACTCTTAGCAACGTTCTTTCATTAATTGTGACAGGAATAATATAGGTCAAAATATAGTTTTATTTTAACTTCTAGGACGCTGAACTTATCAAAAATGTTTTGAAACAAAACGTGTTAATACCAAGAATTCTTAGCATTAATTAATAGAGTATTTAAGGTTACTTGCACAAAAATGAATATTTCTTTAAAGGAATAGTCAAAATAGAAGAAAAGGAGAAAATAAAATTAAATAGTAATAAAAGTAATAAAATTAATTTTCCTTCTCGGTAGGTTAAAAAACAATAGTATATTATGCAATAAGTGTGGTAAACGGCATTTGAGTCACGAATTTATTTGGCATGAGCAGAGCGAATGTTTAATAAACGAACTGTTGCATACTATACTTTTTCCACGACCGTCAGTTTTGGTTAGTTTTTCTGCCATGATAATCACAAATGGCAAAATTCAAGCCGTGAAATCCCGAAAATGTCCGAAGTGGCTCTGATCAATGGGAAACGAAAATGGCACTCTCTGAAGGCTAAATCGATGTAAATCGGGAGTAGGAAAATAGTGCATTATCCAACAAGTGCGGTAAACGGCATTTGACTCAGGAGTTTATTTGTCACGAGAGGAGCGCACCGGAGCGAGTTTTTAATAAACGAGTGAGTTAAAAGGTTTACCGAACGTGTTGCATACTATACTTTTTCTACAACCGTTAGTTTTTGGGTACATTTTCGTAAAACAACACGAATACATTCACTGTTCACAGAATTGACAAACGTCAAAATTGAAATCGTTGGAAATATCTCCGAAAACAACCGATTGCTCCCAAATCCGTGCGGTAAAATCCCGGAAATGTCCGAAAAGGCTCGAATTCATGGGAAACTGACGTGGTAAAGTAACGCTTCCCGAATGCTAGATCGGTGGGTAATTAGGTATTTTACAGACGGGAGTAGAAAAATAAATTTACCCACATTTTTTTGCGTATAATTTGACTAACTAAATAGTAAAGCTATGTTTATAATAATACACATTGCAATGCTTTTATAATTAGGATTTATCAAATACAATAGAAGGAAAATTTTTATGACATTAATTGCTAATCATATACACTAAGTTCGTTTTAAAAAATATATATATTGTATATAACTGATAACATCGGTTATTATGTTATACATATATTACTATTTTAAAATGGCTATTAATATCTTTCATAACAGTTTTCTTACAAAATGATAATATAATTTTGAACAATATCGAATTGTTTATGACATATTTCCTGGTTATATAATTTAGTTCATCTCTAATAACAACTTTAATTTTGTATTTTCTATAACTGGTTTTCACTATCGACTTCATTAAAACATAACACATTATTTAAAACTTTCTATAGAATAAAACTGACATGAAACTCAGCTAAAATGTAAACCGTTCAGCCAAAACGCTGACGACATAATCTTTAACCGGAATGTTCGCCCTTTGAATTGGATTGTAAATTTTGAATTACGATAATTGCAATTGAATCGCAATGACGGAGAATATGACACTGATTTTAATCATAGAGCTACATTTTACATCCCCCAAAACTCCATACATTTTAAAAGGACTCTAAAATTATCGAGTTCTTTTATTTCGCTTTGTTTAGTCTCAGCGTCGATCAAATTAGACGGGCGTTGGTTTTTAGAACGAAAAGAGATCTAATTACGTTCTTTTTTTTTTTTGGAACCAGAGATCAACGACTTTTTAGTTTTTTCACCTTACATTCAGCTTACTTCAAAAATCAACTAAACTACCAATAGCCTTTCAAACGAAAACGTGGCATTTTTGGAATCTGCTAAGATTATATACATTTGAATGTTAAATAGGAGGAATTGCTTTCAGACACGAAATGAATATACAACAGGGTTCGGCGGAGAGCTGCAGGCCATCAACCTCCATTTAAACTTCATTATCAAATCGGGTATTTCGATCGATTCCGAATACGTGTCTCCCAATTTTGTAACGTAATTCTTACCCTTTCCATTCTATGCGAAAATCTGTCTGTCTTCATTTGTATTAAATCCGTACCACTTGACGTAGAAGAATTTGTCATCCATTAATTATACTGATTAAGTAAGAAAGCTATTGCAGCAACTAGACCCTTGTTGAACTGAGGTGGCTTTTATTTGATGAAAATCCATTAAACAAAATAAATATGAACTAAAAGTTCAGATTTTCACGAAATTATATATTTTCACATGACAATTATTTCGACAACACCATGTTTCTAGCGTTTAACTATTTCGAATTTACCCTATTAATTTATCAAGTATGTATTTCGTATGTTTTCATTTTCCTTATATTTTTCAAAAAAATCGATAGATTGAAAGATAACTTATATCAGGTATCGGATAATGTCAAAAATATAAGCAATATATTACAATAATTAAACATTAGAATAATATACAAATATAAAACGATTACAATAATATGTTGTCACAGTTAAAAAAATCATTTAAGCTACAAAGAGCATGATGAACTTGGTTTATACGCCGCATTTATACTCTCAGGTCTATTTGTCTGTTTCAGGGGAGTAGGCAAATAATTATCAGCAAAACAATCAGATTATTGGCAACTATTGACAATTTATGCCTGGGATTTTTTTTATCAAAATTGCTCCTTAACGTTAATGTAAATTAAGATTTTGAAGTCGCTCATAGCTAGTAGGATTAGATGCTAACAATTATATATAAAAAGACCAGAAAGAGTTAGTATTCCAATATCACGAAATAGTTGACGACAAGAGAAAAACTTAGGTTTAGATACCATTGTTCTTGTGATTTGCTTCTGCAATCTAAATACTTCCCTGAAACGCGATGAGTTGTAAATAGCTATGCCGGAAAAAAATTGTTTCATTATATTCTGACCGAAAAATATGTTTAAATTGTTTTGCGAAAAGAATGTCAAAAGGACATAAATTCGAAATAAAATACCGCAAACCTTATTTTTTTGGGTTGAAAATCCACGAATTAATGTTTTAGTTTTAAATAATTTTGCTTAATTTTCTGTCTTTCTATCTCTTCTCTTTCTCCCCTCTTTTCTCTCTCTCTTTCTCTGTCTAGTCTGTTTCCCCATTACTCACACAATAAAACAGCAGCAATTTAATACTAATGTTAAAAATAACGATTATCATAACTATAAAAAAAACTCATTTATATACTTTCTCTTTTTTTGCAGGATGTCGCTATCTTTTTTTTTAGTGACCGACCATTAGGGGCAAATTTTACGTAGGAAATGGTCAATAAAGTTCTGTTCTACTCTGTTTTAAAATGCTACACGAAAAATCCACTAAAAAGAAGACTAGCGAAAGCGTTTAAATGCTTTTAATTTATTTTGCAGGTTGGATAAGAGCTTTAGCGGACCGGCTCAAAATAAACGACGTGGCGAACGTATCGAATACGGATGCGTACGTGACGGCCCTTTATTTCACCTGTTCGAGTCTGACGAGTGTGGGATTTGGAAACGTTAGCGCCAATACAACCAACGAAAAAATTTTTAGCATTTGCGTTATGTTAATCGGAGGTAAGTGCCGTAGTATATAATAATAGTTACTTTTTAGGCCGCCTACATCACACGACATTGTGGTTGTATTTTTTTTATTTTACTGGTTTTTTTGACCCAGCAACTAAGGCAATTTGGCCAGTTTACAAAAATATTACTATTATAATTCAAAATTCTTAAAAAGATGCTTTCTTAATGAAAGGGTCTGGACTAAACCACCGTGCTACAGGTTTGTCCGTTCAAGAAGAACACTATTTCCCAAATTTATTGACACTGCGCCTCTATCACTTTACTTAACAAATATACAAAACACTATTTTACATCAAACGACACTAATTGGGAGCAACGTCCGCCATGTGCAATGGTCCCTAAAATCCTCTCATGGTTGTGGTTAATGTCTCATCCGCGGAAGACCTAAATGCCATTTCGTTGTGGTCAGTGTTGCTAACCGCACATATGTTCTTATGTCTGCCTGTCCATCTTGCCAACTGCAGATGCTCCATGCGCTTTAAACAATTTTTAAACTGTAGCATTAAATTTTGAAATTGTCAGTGGTAAAGAAAATTAGCTTATTTTCTAGGTACGCTTTATTGAAGTAATTAGGTAATTATATAAATATGAGGTTTGATATCTCAACAGCAAATTGCAATTACCAACCGAAGAATAAGTTATAGGCTATTTCAGAAGACTATGGGGTAATAAAATGAGAAATTCCCATCAATTACATTATCGGTCATAGGCGTACGTAAACTAGATTTTAATGGAGGTTGGCCAGGATGACAATATTGCTTTGATACAAAGGCAACTTATGGATCACTTTCACTTTTTGGCTGGGAAAATCATAACCGTACAGCACTTATACTGGCAAGAGATACTTGGGAAATACAAAACAGTACTCAGTACCCTCTAAATTTCCGTGGAACGCCCGTCAACGAGTATCAAGGTATCAAGAGAAGGTAATCGTCAGTCAATATTGGAAGCAAAGATTGATTTTTAAAAGAAAGTTTGATAACCTTTCAGCAGTGCGATGTAGGAGATTACCAAGAAGACCTGAATTTGGATATTTTTGAAGACTATTTTGCCGAAATGCTGAGTTGGTTCAGTTTTAATTATAAATAACGCACAGGGAAGTCTCTAACTCTGTTATTCAGAAAACAAAAAATTATAGATTTGATTAAGAAATAATTATTTCGTATAGCAAATTTGCAAAAACTTTGTGTTCATTTATTTATTTATTCACAATTTAGGTTGCGTAGAGTACAAAGTACCAAAAAAAGCATCCCCGTTTTATCTTAGAAAGATAGGTTTACAAATAAATTTTAATTTTACCACTCATCAGGACAAACTGGTGCAAAGTGATGTAATAATATAAAGACTGTTAGAAGTTCACATTTTAATTAAGGTGTTATATATATTATATCCTAAAAAATATTTGTTCAACTCCCGGCTGTAAAATACCTAATTACCTACCGATCTAGCATGCGGGAAGGGTCACTTTACCACGTCAATTTCGTTTTCCACGATTCCGAGCCATTTCGGACATTTCCGAGATTTTACAGCACGGATTTGGGAGAGATCGGATGTTTTCGGAGATATTTCCCAAGCTTTGAATATTGACGTTTGTCAATTCTGACGACAATGTCAGTGAATGTATTCGTGTTGTTTTGCGTGAATGTACCCAAAAAGTAACGGTCGTAGAAAATGTATAGTATGCAACAAGTTCGGTAAACTTTTTAACTCACTCGTTTATTAAAAACTCGCTCCGCTGCGCTCCGCTCGTGTCAAATGCCGTTTACCGCACTTGTTGCATAATATACTATTTTCACAGCAGCAGTTATTGAGTTTCTTTTTATGAAACCGGTCGTTTTATTCGATTCGATTATTACTCTATTTATGTGAGTCTTAAAAATCCATTTTTCGTCCAGCGTTATCCCCAGATCTCTAATCTCCGCCACTCGCTCTAAGTTGGTGTTATTGATATTGTATGTTGAGTTTATTTTTGCTACATTTTTGGTGAATGATATACTAGAACATTTGACAGGATTCAGGAAAAGATTATTACTTTGACAGTATTGTTCCAAGCGCAGAAGATCTTCTTGGACATTTAGACAGTCATCGGAGGTTTCGATCTTGGTGTATATTTTCAAGTCGTCGGCGAAGAGTAGTAGTCTTTTACAATGTTTGAAACATTTTTATATTGAATTAATATATATTATAAAAAACAAAGGGCCAAGATGACTGCTCTGTGGTACACCGGACGTGATGCCAAGAAATTTCGATTTATGTCCATCGTCATTCTTCCTTTTCTATCACTAAGAAAATTGCTGGACAATCTAACCATTTCGGCCTCAATCCCGACCTCTGCAAGCCTAGTCGACAATATTTGGTGGTCTATCTTGTCGAATGTTTTACTAAAGTCGGTGTAGACTACGTCAACCTGTCCTTTACGTCAATTGCCCTAGTAACCAATTCAGAGAAACTCAGTAAGTTGGTTTCGAGAGACCTTCTTGGAAAAAACCATGTTGTTCTTGGATTATTTTATTTTTTATACCGGGAAAAATACTTCACTGTCATACATGAGTTTCTCTAGAATTTTGTCAAAGGCACACAACTTGCTTATAGGCCTATAGTTCTTAACATCCTTTCTCTCGCCGCTTTTAAAAATTGGAGTAATTTCACTTAAATATAAATGTAAATATAAAATAAATAATAAAAATAAAAACAGGTGGAATGCCATCCGGTCCTGGACATTTGTCTACATTTAAGTTTTGACATTTCCTTTTATTATTGTTCAATTTGAAGTTTTGCATAAGAATTGTGTTTGATTTAATGCACACACTTTCAAAAGAATGCGCAAACACTTCGGCAACCTTTTTACCACCCCTTGCAAAAGTTTGGTTGTCCTTTACTATGTATGGAATTGAGACATTGTTTTTTCTTTTACTTCCAATAAAATTCCAATTTTTTTTTGAGTTTTCCAAAATGTTGGTCTCTATGATTGCAATATATTTATTATAGTCGTTTCTAATCATTTACTTTGATACGGTTCGTAATTAACGGAATCGATCATACGAATATTGGTCGCGATATATTTTATATTGTTTATGAAATTTGATTTTTCTTTTATTACTGATATTGTTTTAAAACTAAAACAGACATGAAAATTAGACTTAATCTCGCTAATTGGTACATTTTGTTGAACGATTCTGTTTATTATGTTGTAAAATTGATCTCTCATTGTATCTACGTGACCACTGTCAGAGTTCGATTCTAGTCTATTTTTGATAGGTAGGTATTTATATCGTCAAAATTAGCTTTATTAATATTATATTATCTTTTGTTTGGGGGATTAAGAAGCTTAACCCAAGACGCAGACCAGAGGATTTGTATAGCTTCGTGGTTGCCATTTTCGGCAACCAGGTAATTGACCGATTATGAAATACATCCTGGAAGATGTGGCAAAAAACATAGTGAAAATATATTACGCAGACATCACTGCGAACTTGTTGAACTTGAATAACACGAATACATTGAGTGAAGTCTTGTTCGAAAAGGCTAACGATAACGAAACTGACGTCGTAAAATGACACCTTTATTTCTACTACCCCTATTTAAAAGGGATTGAGATTATTAAAACATAGTTATGGTCCCCAAGTTTAAATTGTTCCAATCCGAAAGGAAGATATTTTAAGAATTGTATTGTATTGTATCTGAGCTGTTCAGGATAACGCATCTGCTTGAACTCAGAAATAATGAGATCTAGTTGATTGTAAGTGCACCAACTATCGGAAATGATGAGAACTGCTCTAAATTAAAGATGAATAACTCACAAAATTTCCAAAACCCCCTACAAGGTCTATTTGGGTTTGAAGAAATATGCATCTCCAAAGCTCGGAACACAACCAGATTTGAGTTATTAATAATAGACCACCAACAGAGAGACCATGGTCGCGCCTTCCAATGAGAACTGGTCTCAATTAACGATGCACGATATGTATAATCCCAATATCCACTAAATTTCAATAACCCCCCCCTCCAAATATTAAGCTTTTACGAACCATCCGGATTGTCTGAGATCGACAGCTAAGATTTATTGCCGTCAAACACAAGCGATTTTCAATTGAATATAGTCGGACCTCGACATCGAATCGATACCTACTCTAAGAAAACGCTGTTTGAATTCGGTAACGCAAATGGAAGCTGAAAATTGGGTAAAACGCAACTTGAATGAAAATGCCACTAATTAATGTTTTACTTTGGTATTTGTTACTTGGCCAATTGTTTCAAGCGATCAAGGTTGATTAATAGGAAAAGCTGCTTATATGCTAATGAATAAACAATTAATCGGGGCGCACCAGTTATATTGGGCCAATAGGTTCAAAATGGATGGTTGGAAAAACTACCAAACAGTTACTCCGCCAGATGCGTTGCCGAATATATTTTTTGAATTAAAAATATTTCCAAAAACATTTAAATTCTTTATGCATACGTTCACGTGCAAAATTCAATATGTAGTGTGTAATTTAGTAATGACGGTCGAAGTTCCACGAGAAACCTTCCTTCTCTTATAATATCCAAAACGTATGTGAAAATCCTGTTGAATTTAAGTTCAAATTCCTTCACAAAATGTAGATTACTCCTAAAAAAATCATTATTGTCTGTTGGTTGTTTATTTATTACTTGGTGTTAGCCTGTTGAAATAACTAGTAATTCCTTGTTTGCTGTAACTAGCGATTATATCAAGGTACAGGAAGCATAATAACATCCTATGGGAGGTATTGGGTATTTGGAAATTATTTAGATTATACGGGATATTCCAGTAAGAGTAATAGAGAAACAGACAATCCTAGAGAATTGAAAAACAAAATCAACTAAACCTTTCAAGGGAAAATGTTAGAAATTATTTTCTAAAATGGTCACCCAGGACATTTATTTTTTTGTGTGTTTCCACAAAAAGATGGAATATTCGTCATAGTTCTATGCTTACTGATGTTTGCTCTATCTTTGCAAGAAAAATGGTG